CCCCATAGCTCCGCCCCACAGCCCTGCCCCACAGCCCTGCCCCATAGATCTGCCCCATAGATCTGCCCCATAGCCCTGCCCCATAGCTCCGCCCCACAGCCCTGCCCCACAGCCCTGCCCCATAGATCTGCCCCATAGATCTGCCCCATAGCCCTGCCCCATAGCTCCGCCCCACAGCCCTGCCCCACAGCCCTGCCCCATAGATCTGCCCCATAGATCTGCCCCATAGCCCTGCCCCATAGCTCCGCCCCACAGCCCTGCCCCATAGCCCTGCCCCATAGCTCCGCCCCATAGCTTCGCCCCATAGCCCTGCCCCATAGATCTGCCCCATAGCTCCGCCCCACACATTTCTGCCCCACAGGGTGAGGAAGGTTTTCCCGGCTTCAAAGGCGACATGGGAGTGAAAGGAGAGCGGGTGAGTGGCGCTTAACGAGCTCCTTAATTAACGGCGTCATTAACGAGCTCTTTAATTAATGGTGTCATTAAAGGGGGCATTAATGGGGTCATTAACAAGATCACTAATTGGGTCATTAACAGGGTCATTAACAACCTCCTTAACTGCGTCAATAATGGGGTCGTTGACGGGGTTATTAATGAGCTCCTTAACTGTGTCATTAACGAAGTCATTAATGGGGTTATTAATCAGGTCATTACGGGCTCCTTATAATTACTGATTAATTAATTAATGCCTGATTACTGTGGAGCCGATTAAGAAGGGCCACCTGTGAAGGTAGTGATTCATTAATGAGCGACTAATTAATTAATTACTGTCCGATTGTTAGAAAACTGATGACTAATTAGTGCTAATTAATTAATTGCTGTCTGATTACCGCAGGGCGATGCCGGCCCCCCCGGCTCTCGCGGCGCCGACGGCCCCGAAGGCCCCAAAGGTCGCCTGGGATCAGCGGGGGAACCCGGCCGCATGGGGGCGCCTGGAGACAAGGTTTGCCTATGGAGCCTATGGGAGCCTATGGGAGCCTATGGGAGCCCCTATAGAGCCTATGGGAGCCCCTATAGAGCCTATGGGAGCCCCTATGGGAGCCTATGGGAGCCTATGGGAGCCTATGGGAGCCCCTATAGATCCTATGGGAGCCTATGGGAGCCTATGGGAGCCCCTATAGAGCCTATGGGAGCCCCTATGGAGCCTATGGGAGCCTATGGGAGCCTATGGGAGCCCCTGTGGAGCCTATGGGAGCCCCTATGGAGCCTATGGGAGCCATTGGGAGCCCCTATAGAGCCTATGGGAGCCCCTATAGAGCCTATGGGAGCCCCTATGGGAGCCTATGGGAGCCTATGGGAGCCTATGGGAGCCCCTATAGATCCTATGGGAGCCTATGGGAGCCTATGGGAGCCCCTATAGAGCCTATGGGAGCCCCTATAGAGCCTGTGGGAGCCCCTATAGAGCCTATGGGAGCCTATGGGAGCCCCTATAGATCCTATGGGAGTCCCTATAGAGCCTATGGGAGCCCCTATGGAGCCTATGGGAGCCCCTATAGAGCCTATGGGAGCCCCTGTGGAGCTTATGGGAGCCCGTATGGAGCCTATGGGAGCCTATGGGAGCCCCTATAGATCCTATGGGAGCCCCTATAGAGCCTATGGGAGCCCCTATGGAGCCTATGGGAGCCTATGGGAGCCTATGGGAGCCCCTGTGGAGCCTATGGGAGCCCCTATGGAGCCTATGGGAGCCTATGGGAGCCCCTATAGAGCCTATGGGAGCCCCTATAGAGCCTATGGGAGCCTTTGGGAGCCCCTATGGAGCCTGTGGGAGCCCCTATGGAACCTGTGGGAGCCCCTATGGAGCCTATGGGAGCCTATGGGAGCCCCTGTGGAGCCTATGGGAGCCCCTATAGATCCTATGGGAGCCCCTATAAAGCCTATGGGAGCCCCTATGGAGCCTATGGGAGCCTATGGGAGCCCCTATAGATCCTATGGGAGCCCCTATAGATCCTATGGGAGCCCCTATAGAGCCTATGGGAGCCCCTATGGAGCCTATGGGAGCCTATGGGAGCCCCTATAGATCCTATGGGAGCCGCTATAGATCCTGTTGGAGCCCCTATGGGAGCCCCTATGGAGGCTATGGGAGCCCCTATGGAGCCTATGGGAGCCTTTGGGAGCCCCTATGGAGCCTTTGGGAGCCCCTATGGAGCCTATGGGAGCCCATATGGAGTCTATGGGAGCCTATGGGAGCCTTTGGGAGCCCATGTGGAGCCTATGGAAGCCTATGGGAGCCCCTATAGATCCTACGGGAGCCCCTATGGAGCCTATGGGAGCCCCTATGGAGCCTATGGGAGCCTGTGGGAGCCCCTATAGATCCTATGGGAGCCCCTATGGAGCCTGTAGGATCCCCTATAGGATCCCCCATAGCATCCCCCTATAGATCCCCCATAGGATCCCCTATGGAACCCCCATAGCAGCCCCTATAGAGCCTGTAGGGCCCCCTATGGAGCCTGTAGGGTCCCCTATGGAGCCCTTCGGATGCCCTATGGAGCCCTTAGGATCCCCTATAAGATCCCCCATAGGATCCCCCTATGGATCCCTTAGATCCCCTATAGAGCACATAGTATGTCCCATAGGATCCCCTATAGAGCCCTTAGGATCCCCTATAGAGCCTTTAGGATCCCCTGTAGAGCCCATAGGATCCCCCATAGGATCCCCTATAGAGCCCTTAGGATCCCCTATAGGATTCCCTATAGATCCTACAAGATTCCCCCCATAGGATCCCCCCATAGGATCCCCTAAATCTCTGCTGTCCCATAGGGCAAACTGGGGGTGCCAGGACTGCCGGGTTACCCGGGGCGGCAGGGCCCCAAGGTGAGTGTGGGGCGGCCCCATAAGTGCCCCTGCCCCATAAGTGCCCTTGACCCCATAAGTCCTCCACCCTGTAAGTCCCTCTGACCCCAAACACCCCTCCAACCCCACATCTGACCCCAAACCCC